TAACAGCTTTTTAATATTGCAAGGATTTTGAAATCGGTCAAGTAGCTTTTAAATTATTTCAATACATACAAAAACCCAAAAATACAAATCTTTCCCCTTTATAATATTAGTTTAGATGTAGATTTAAAAAAAAATAATGCAATGTTTTTTTTTTCATCGTTAAAACATCGTTAGGTTTACCTGCATGATAGGCACAGCAGGAGAATCCTTCATAGAACTGAACGCGTCCATTCCAGCGCCTAAACCAATGCCGATAACTGAACCCCCACTGAAGATCAGCACGCACGTCAAATGTAGACAGAGCCGGCGTGCGAAGCTAGCGCATAACTCCACGCCCAGGCAGAATCCCACCACGTATTTATGACTTGCCACCGCACCTAGTAGAAGCAGCACCTACACGATACAATAGAAATAAATTATACAATAAAGATGCAACAACTGAAGATTATACACGCAAGATGGAATAGCAAAGAAATTATACATCTAAGATGCAGTAGTAAGTATACACGTCAGATGAAGTTGCACTGGAGACAATACACTGTAGATGCTGTATAACTGTGTGTAAAATGTAATAGGACAGAAAATACAAAACAGATGCGAATTATATGGGAATATACAGAATTCAAATAAAGCGACCGTTAGCTTATCTTTTGCCTGAATCTGAATATAAACCAGGGCTTATTTAAGGATTACCTACAAGTAATAACATAGATATAATTCAAATATCTGCGCGGCTCGAAACATCTGCAGATTACTCAGAACATAAATTCAGTTCTAACGATGCATAAATTTACTTGAAGATCGTCCTGAGCTTCGATGACCTTGGGCTGCTAGGATATTTGAAACGAATTATACTTAAAATCTTCCTAAAAAGTACTACTTTGTTCCATATTACTTTGTAATTCGTTACTTAAAATATATTCTTTAAAGGTTACGTGTAGACCTTTCATCATTTCGAACAAGGTTATGTTTTGTTAGCGCACGAATACCAATCGCTTATACAAAACATTGCTATCTCCCGTTTTTTTATTGGAATGACAAGGATAACCTTAGCAACTGTGTTGGTTTGCTGGTCTTTATAAAGCTAATTACTTACATTATCTAACCATTATCTTAAGTCTCTGATACAATACAATAAATATAGGTCAAGTTCTTTTGAACCACGTGTTAATTTAAAAAACATAATATTTGACTTTACCTAACTATTTCATTGCTAATAATTTGTTATTATACTGTTAATTTGTCATTTAAAACCAAAATAATCTAATGGCCGGTTTCCGAACTACTTTTAAACATGTGCTTATTTTTCGGCAAATTTATAAAATTGGGTTCCGACCTACGTAACTTGAGTTTGATTCTTCGAAAGTTATGTTAACCAAACACTAATGAATAACTAGGTAATAATAAAATAAATGGAAACTTTAGAAACCTTACATAAGAGCCTCATATTTCAATATAGGTAACTACAGAAATAAATAGAAAAAAAGGTTGATTTCAACAGAAACGGCGAACGCAC